TGTCCGCCTTCCCTTGATGAGGGGTGGCTTGCCGTGTTTCCGAGGGGGCAGCTGAAGTAGAGGGCAAGCCTGATCCATCTGGGTGTGAGGCCTCCGGAGCAGCAGGAGCCTGAGGGGCCAGAGGAGCTCGTAAATCGCCTCCGGCCGGAGCTGACGCAGCCCAGGCTGGAATCGCTCCAAAAGAAACCAAAAGCTCCTGCATCGCCGGGGTCAGTTGTCGCATAGCAGTAGAAGCTGCTGTTCGCGGTGCTTCTACTGCACGACGAAGTACATGGCTCATGGCATCCGCATCTTCGTTCTCCCAGCCATTCCTCATACGATCCCAGGAGGCCTCTGCCTCTGCTGCTGCCATAGGGGCGTCGGGAGGCTCGCCGCCGCGTAGCACGGACTGCTGGATATCCTCGTAGGCCTTGTCCTGCTCCACAGTCGCTTCCGCGATTTCGCGGTCTAGTCTGGCTCCGTTTTTGTTGTAGCGGGCCTGCTCTTTGATAAACGAGTCCTTGAGACCTCTCTGGAAGGTCTCCCACTGCTCGGCTGCGCGAGCTTTGGCTCGTATAAGCTTCTGCAACCGGAGTTCTGCTTTCCGCGCCACATTCAGAAGCCCTGGCAGACCATGCGAACGGCCTTGCTGTGTCACCACTTCCATGTTGCTCGGGCGAGGATCTCGGGCAGCTGAGGGCATGGAATCGTATGCAGGGAAAGAAGGCGCAGGAGTAACCTCCTTGTTGCTGTTCTCGCGCCAAGGACGGGCTGGTGGGTCCGCTCGCAAGCGCGGAGACCAAGAGCCACGCCAAAGCTGTTGCGCCCCTGCACCATGCTGAGTATCCTTTCCCCATTGCTTATACTTGCCGCCACGTCCCATGCCAGATCTTGCAGCCAAAAACAACTTCTGACGAAGACTGGTGGCGTGATGCAGCGCTAAAGCTCGGCGCTGCTTTTCAGTTATCCGGGCTCCACGACGAAGACGAGACCGAGCCTGGGACCGAACCGCCCTCAAACGGCGGTGCCACGAGGGGGAGCTATAGCGCGGAGCCGTTCCGAGCCGCTCTAGAAAAACCCCGGCGCACCTCTTGGTGCTGGGGCTCTGGTGTTCCTACCACTGCCTGCTGGTAGGCAATCCTGAGCCCTGTTTGGAGTCTATTATACTATAATCATAGTAAGGAACCCCCAAAACCCTATTCCAATGATTAAGGCCCCTTGGCGACATTTGTCGATGACCAAAATCAGACAAAGCCCCCCGCGCGGAACACATTTATTTGGGGGTTTGGCAAAGCTCCAGCCTTCGTGCGATAAAGATCTTTTCCAGTCTTTTTCTATTTTTGGATCGCTGCAGGCGCTGGCTCTCACGATCCTGACTGCAGTGAGAGCACTCAGACATACTTCAACCACTTGCTTCAGTGGCTGTCAGGGTATCCGTGCAGTTTTCGGAGGTGTGGGGACGCCGGGGTTCGACACATGGGAGCCGATCCTCAGACTCAGTACAAGTGGCACTGTGATCCCACAAGCCCCAAATCCCAGTATATCCATTAAAAAATCCGAGGTATTTAAAGCCCCTAAACCCGAAAGCAGAGTTCGCTCTCGGGAAGTTTGGCTTGTGTAGAGCCCGGAACTCTAGACCCTGGCTTCCTACAAGTTCCCAGGCTGCTTTCGAATTTACAAGCAACTCCTACACTGGACTGAACCCAGGCTTTCCACATCGCTTTGGTCCAAGAGTGTGAGCGGAATCCGTGAAGCGTGAACCCAGGTGGAGGTATTCTGTTGCACCTTCGTGGACCAACTCTACAGCAAGGGGTGGGAAGCTTACAGCTGATATGTTGGCTACGCACATGAGATACGACACCAAGAGTAGTGGTGCATCCTAGTTATAATTGTTTGTAAGACTGGTGTTAACTTTAGCAGCATGGTAGCAGTATTGTACAATGATAACCTGTATTCTATTCAACGGATATGTGTAGCCAGCCATTCACTGCACATGCATAGTCCGTGATCGGCTAGCATCTCGACTCGTCGCCATCGCTGGAGAGGTTGGTTTCTTGCCTCCTGTGAAGAGGAATAAGGAGTAAAAGGAAGCTTGCACTTAAGCCCAACTGTCGTTTGCAGGGAGTCATGCTGAGGCTGGGAAACTTCAATTGGCGAGGCACCGGCAATTTGGTTGTGTTGGGGACGGAAGACCAGTTGTGCAAGGTAAAGGGAGGATGCATGATGCATGCGTAGCTAGGGCCACGACACACGCGCAATACGATTGGAGTTCGACACGGACTGCCAGCATTAACACACGAGGAGGTTCCAGCAGCCGGGAAAGCAAAGAAACGACAGATCGACATACTCACTGTGTGAAAATGTAGGTGTCATCTAGTTGCCGAAAGCTTGCTCATCGTTTTGGTAAGGTGGCTTTTACACAGGCATGGTGCAGGTGTTATGCATCTACGTCATCTTGCGTCGCTTTTTTACACAGCTGTAACGGTAACTGTACATGGGTGGTTCTCAAGAATAGGGTCCCCTTTTAGGGTCCTTCTTATAAGGGTGCCGTACTATATTGGGGACCCAAAAAGGGACCCTCATTTAGAGAACTACTCACATGCTATGTTTGTTGTTTGTCGCTCTGCTCCTTCCCTGCAAGCTTGTCTACAGGTCACGACGGAGTCGGATGGGCCTAGCTCTCGAAACAATTGTGCGACGCATTCGGCAGCGCAGTTGCCTCTTCAGGGCTTGGAGAGGGAGTCAGCTGTTTTTTTTTCCATTGTTTCTGAAGCTTCAACGTCAGTGGAATGATGTTCGTTGTCCATGTGGCCACTGCAAGTTCGGAACGGGATCATACAAAAGCCGGCCCAAACAGCTCGATGTTTAGCAACCTTTCACCGTAAACCACCCTGAACCCTAAGCTTGGAAGTGTAGCAATATATCAAGCCGACAGATGCACTTAGGTCCGGCTGCCTCTTTTCCTGGCATGCAGAGGTGCTGGGTGCTTTGCTCAAACCATGGTCATGGATGAGCATGTCGAATTTCTGCTGATAGCCCGAGAAGATATGAGCCAAACATAACTTGACAGGCATGGCTTTTCTCATCATTTGGTGCTGGCAGCAGCTTTGCCGTGCCGGTGGCCTCAGTGCGGGGTTGAGGAAGGAGCTTGTCCTATAGTCCTATATATGTGACGGCGACCATGCATGATTTCAATGGAGGCTTCGAGAAGGACACTGCTGAGCAAGAACAGCAGTAAGTCAGAGTGCTGGGGATTAAGCCGCGCAGTTAGATCGACATGCATGCATACATAAATACTTATATACTTACATGCCTACCTACCTACATGCCTGCCTACCTATCTACCTACCTACCTACCTACCTAGCTATCTGCCGGCCTGCCTGCCTGCCTCCCATCTACACGCCTCCCTACCCACCAACCAACCTGCCTACCTACTACCCTACCTCCCTACCTACCTACCTGCCTACCTACTTGCCTGCCCACTCACCTACCTACCTACTCCCTGCCTGCCTACCTACCTACCTACCTACCTTCCTTCCTACTTACCTACCTACCTACCTACCTACCTACCTACCTACCTACCTACCTACCTACCTACCTACCCACACTTGCACACACACGCATGTGTATGTATATATATATATAGATAGATAGATAGATAGATAGATAGATAGATAGATAGATAGATGCATATATATATATATTTTTGATTGATTGTGTCGGTAATTATGTATATACGGTTTAATATCTGTATTGTTTTGTATGCACGAACCCAGAACAATACATAAACATGTGCATGTGCATGCACATCTGCCACTGCATGTGCTCATACGTGGGCATGGACTACATAGCTTGTATCTCCGAAATAGATACATACAACAGCAAGTTTGAAGGCACAATCAACCCGCAAAAAAGTCTAGATACATACGCAGACATCGTTTCGTCGGTATTTGCGTCTAGTGACTAGTGTTGCCGGTGGAGGATGATGTTGACGATGGTGATGGTGACGACGACG